TCACCGGAAGTATTGGGATGCAGGTTGGCAGCGCCATCCCTGGAGCATCTGGACGGGTCAGTCGCCGTGGATCCGGCTGGGGTGAGATTGTTGATTCTGAGGATACGGGCGATGAAACTCAACGTGAAGAATCCGATAAAGACGCCGACGGCAAAGAACATGCAGACGAGAAGTCAGCAGCAGAGAAAGATAAGAGAGAATGCTAGCAGCGCCACCCAGACCATTGCAATATGTCCTGTTTACCCCTAATCCCTTACATTTTTTCTATACGTTCCACATTACTTATTTTTCCTTTACCCTCTGTTGCATGTATACCCCTGAGTTTTTTCTCGTTATCTCTTTGTAGCCCATACTGCTTATTTTGACTTATGATTATCACCATTACTGACCCAATCACCGTTGACCACTGTTTTCAATGTTTATATGCGTACGACATTCCCCCCTGCAAGTTGGAGGCTATTTATTTTTGTTGTATTTAGATATTACCCCGGTTCTTCTCCTCTTTAGCATCCAGTTCGGCCTTGTTAATGACATATTTTCCATTTGCCTTGATAGCTTACAAGTCTTCGTTGGGAATGACGAAGACTTACACAGCTATATCTCCGCGCAGCTTACTTCAAAAAAGCTAACCCTAGCATCTATGTGTCTTTCCCTTTCACCTTTCTTCCAACCGGATGCGGCTCACAATATCTAATGGGATCCAGAAAGAATAAAAACAAAATGTCACAGACTAACCAGCAAGACAGGTTCTGGATGAACAATTGACCTATTCAAGGAGTCCCGGCTCTATGCCCACGTACCCCCTGATTCATGTACTGCGCCGTTGCGAGCCTACCAAAATCACATTAGTCTGGTGTTAGTCGACCTCTGTTATAACAAGCGCCCGTCAAGGCAGCGCGCCATGCCCACCGTGGCATGGTCTTGATGGCTCGCAGGCTGAATAGCCGCAGCACGCTGTCCAATCCAGGCCTGACACTCCCGGGGCGATCGACGAACGGAATTTTCTTGGTTTGTTTTTCGAGCTGAGTCCAACTCCCTGCTTCAACGACTCCTTCGCGATGTGGAGGATCACCCGAAAACGACCATCGGCTCACAGCCTCGTGTGATTATTGGTCCGTGGAGGTCGATATAACCCACACTGGGATGGTCAACTCGGGCCCATCTATTTGCTATCAATTAGTTAATACGCACCAGCTGATAAGAATGGGCGGGTCATCGATGGCGTAGCATAAAGCCAGCAATGCCTCGCTGATTCCCATCTACACACAGCGTCTGCGTCAACTTCGGCTGCACTTCTTCAGCCGGCCGTTTCAAATTTCCTGTGGCAGTTTCCCTTTCATTAGCTTACCCTCTGTGCTAGTCTGGTCTTTCACGCCGTCATGGCAAGCAAGGACTTGCTGAATGGGAGCCACCGCGGTATGGTGAAGCGTATAGTTGACGCATTGGATAGGGAGGAGAAGGGCTATGGCACAGAGGCAGAGTCTCCAGCACCACAGGCAAACAGACTGGCAGATGGGCCAACAGAGGTGCAAATCAACGGGCTGGTTAGCGTTCCCACCGACGACCAATTAGATGGTCAATCGAATGACCGGGCAAATGGAACCCGGAGAACCGCTACTTCGTTAAGTCAGCCGCGCCTTTTATCGACACACTCGAAGCTCAGGACATTCAGAGTCTTGACTGGTATTGATACACCTGCAGGCCTCGCTACGGCCAGTCTAGTCCGTCGACCAGCGTCTAATGTTGGCATATATACCCGCGTCGTCAACGCTGAAGCTCGTTATAAACGGGAATACCGCTTTTTTACGCTCCTAATAAGCTGTTGCTTGGGGATACAGGTTGTCGTCGCTGCAGCACTGACAGCCTTGGGCGCTGGGAACGGTCCGCGTGTTTTGGTTACTATATTCGGAGCAGTTAATACTGGTATTGCTGGGTACTTGACATATTTGAAAGGGTCTGGCCTGCCGAATAGAAAGCGCTATCACCAGTCGCAATATGCCAAGATAAGGCAGCACATTGAACAGAGAGAACGCGACTTTTGTCTGGAAAACTGTGAGCTTGACGTTCATGAGGAGATCCGGCATATTCAACACATGTACGAAGAAGTACAAGAAGATGTGGAGGCGAATACCCCAGAAAGCTTCTCCGGCGTAAAAAGATTCCAAGCAAATCAACCAGTTCTCCCTTTACCGACAATTAAGAATGAAAAAGACGGGATTCCAGGGAAAGAGACACTGAACAATGGAGTCAGTATACCTTCGCCTGTATTGAAGGCTGGAACTGCACCCTAGAGCTATACATATGCCTAGGTTTGTTTGTTATGATTACGAAGAGGGTTTTGTATATATATTATTTTGAGCGTACCGGAGATATGTATATTGATAGGATCGTCTAGATAGGATAGATTTAACCTTATAGCTTATAGCACATACAACTATCTATTTTTTATCTATTACTATCTCCAGCCGGCTTTGACTTCACTAGTTATTATCATGGGCACCGCAAAATGCTCAAGGGGTCCAGGCGATAGCAGTTAAATAACCATACAGCAGTGCCACAGAATAAGGTTTAAAGGAGAAGGATATATTCTAATTAACTTATTTGGGGCATGGAAATCGTCCTACTATAACCTTACGCAGACGGGATATTCTGTCCGCCAACCGATGGCGTACCCAGGAAAGATGAAAGGGGCAATAAGCTATTGACTTCCTGTCGAATAACAGTGCGCCGTACTCCGTAGAACGATTGATATTAACGCCGCACATAGGAGCGAGACGTAGCGCTGATGCACCTGGTCGGATGTGCTTGAAGCTGTACTCCGTATAGAATAACATATGGCGTAGTTAATGGACGCGCGGGCGAAAGGGAATCTTTGCCTGGAGAGCGGACAGCGAAGTTTAAATAAGTTAACTATTTATAGTGACAAGTGAGCGGGTTCAGGGGCTCGGGAAGCGGGAGATGATTAAGCAGAACCTTCAGCCAACGCCCAGCAACGACTGCAGGGGCGAGCTTTCGTAACCAGGTCGCAGCTAGCAGCTAATACGTGGCAGCCTATTTTTCAGCTTCTTCAGCCTTTGGACAGACATAAGTAATGGCATTGGTAAGCATCGTTGGCCGAAGAGAGTGCAAATATTATAGACGGCAGGCTGTGTTATGCCACGGTACCTTCAGGAAGCTATAGGGGGCAATATAAATTCTGTGACAGTTGTCTAAACCGCCGGATACCTATGACAAAGAACATTACCGAGAGACGCGATATATGCCGCCGGAGGTCTCGAAACGCCTGTCTGCAATGTAAGAAACGTAAGGTGAAGGTATGTGTAGCCATAGATTTATTTATCTTCGACGTCTTATGCAACCGCTTAACCACGGACCCATAGTGCGACGAACAGGCGCCATGCTGCCACAACTGCAGATATCGGCAGACAGAATGCAGCTTTCAGACATTCACAATGCAATACCCTAGTATAGGCAGAAGGACACTGAAACATAGTCAAAGGACTTTGAAGCCATTTCCTGCCACTGTGGAGCTCCCGGTGTCCGAGGCCAAACAGCAAAACAATTTTATACCCCCAGACCCGGCGTACCAACAAGAAACTAACCCTCACTGGACCGCATCAGATTGCTCTGGAACTACTAATTATGCTCCAAAACTTGACTTGATCACCCATCCTGCGAATGTGCAGCGCCCATTAACTTGTGCGTCTCATCTACTCCCTGAGGAGCACGAATTATTGCATCATTATGCTACAACCGTGTTCGAATCTCTGGCAGACTATGAGGCGTATAGACCAATATGGCAAGTTGTTGTCCCGCGAGAAATTCAGTCTGTTAGCTTCTTGAAGCACGGGATACTGGCAATATCGGCTCTACATATACACCATCTTCGCTTTAGAGCAACTAAACAAAAGGGACTAAGTTCAGAGGAACTCTTGCACAAGGAGTTAGCCCAGAAACATTATCAAGCAGCGGTAATGGAGTTTGGGTCACTGTTTCCAGAAGACCTATCCAACACTAATGCTGCATTTGCTTTCTCACATTTGACGATTTTCTTCGCTTTCGGTTCCGCTCAGCTATCAAGTTATGGAGATCCAATGTCAAATGCAATTGATGATTTATTGAGCTTATTTGCCTTAACTAGGAAAGCTATGGCATTTTTGAGAATGAGATGGGAATTACTAGTAAAAGGAGACATGGGAATACTCCTTCAGCGTGGCCCTAAGATTACGAACAGAAAGTACCTACCAACAGATGCTGTTACCGCGCTTGAATTGCTAGAAGGACTGTGCAACGAATGGATATCGAGTAATCGGGAAATTTCGGGTTCTTTTAACGAAAGTGACCACGATATTAAGACCGGATATCGTCGCGCGATTGAGCAGCTATGGGACTGCTTTGTCATGTTAGAAACAAAACGGAAGGACTGGGGTATGGCCCTCCGATTTCCTATGATATTTCCTGACTCCCTTTTTCCATGCTTCAGAGCTCGGGAACCACTGGCAATGGTAATACTAGCATACTACTGTGCACTATTGCGCAGAGCACCGGTGCGATGGTGGGCGGATGGCTGGAGTGCACAAGTTATCCAGGCAATATTCTACATCTTGCCTCAAGACTGGAGGTATGCTGTATCCTGGCCGATGAGTATTGCCGGGATTTTGTCTTCAGAGCTACAGCTAAGAGAACAGGCATGTTTCTAACTGGAATATCTATGTCAAACCCGACTACTAGAGCATCTTCGAACTAACTGATTGACTGATAAAGATATACTGGTCAAAACCGTAGATGGCACCTTGATTTATCGAGCGATATCTGTTACCCTATCGGTGCAGGGTAGTCGACGGAGTATGTCAACAGTATCTTTATATTTGTATGAACGTTTCCATGAAAGGCCTTATTTACTATCGCCGGCGGCGGAGGTCTCACACAAACCAAGTCAGCGCGCTTAGTAATCGGAAGTTTCCTTCAACTACCTCGATTGTTCTTCCCATCTTTCTCTTTTACATATCTCTGATAACGTTGAAATTTACCTTCACCTGATTGGCATACCCGGGAAAGTATGGGTATTCCCACGGTGGCAGAGTACAGAAAAAGAACAGAAATACCCAAAGAAAGCCAAATAACCTGCGCCATAGCTGAATCCCAGGCTCAAACCTGCCTCTAAATTGCGGACAGTGGTGTCTTAAAAGCTGTTTAAGACCATATTCTCCAAGGGTTCCCAAGAAGTTGAATATTAAAAATAGCGAAAAGTTGTATATCCTCGCCACAGATTCTGATTTATCTTTCACGCTCCAGGATACCAAGGCATGAATGATAGCAGAGGCCATGAAGATAAAAAAGGCAAGGAAGACTTTTTCTCTAGGAGAACCAGGCTTGAGTTCCAGTACACGCCGCGACAAATACCGCCCCCACTCCAACTGAGAAACTGATCCAATTTTATGCCAGAAAATACCCCAGAATCTCTGCAGGTTGTACACCTCACCTGGACTGCCCCAGAGCCATGGCCATTCGCTTGGTATATCCACCCCTAAGACTCCCACAAACAGTATGGCAAGTATGGCATGACCTATGGTAAGAAAAACGAAAGACTCCCATGCCCAATGCACGCAAAAAACTGCCCGGACTAGAACTGGATGATCTGGTTTAAAGCCAAAATAGTATCGAAAGGATACTCTCCATTTCATGGGCAACGGATAGAGAACCAGAGCAACCACCGCCTCGCCCATGAGATACAGGATTCCAAGTAATAAAACAAGGCCAACTTTTTGGAACACAAAAGTGAGTCGTTTTTGCCATGACACCGAGTTTTTTTGACCAAGTTGGCAGACCCTTAGTCTTCGTGGATTCCCCCATAATTTCAAACCGAGGTAAAGAATGTCATGATTTACTGACTGGTTTGCAACTGGTACGACCCATGGTTCGAGCAGAAGGCCGGCACTTTGGTGGATAATTCCGATGACGCATAAAAAGGCCCAAAGCCAATCGATACCGGCAGGCAGACGACTTGACGTGATAAATCCAAGGGTAAGGCAGCCAGTCAGGAGGAGGTAATATATATTTCTTCCCAGGCCAGGTTGACGACTGAAGGCAAAGACGAAAGGGAGAACAGACACAGCAACCCAAGCTATAGGAATTAAAATGCCCAAGATCGATGTGATACGCGGAGTAGATGTGACAAATTTGAAAGCGGAATTCATTTTGATTTCTTGCACCATAATTAACTGAAGCCAGGCGCTGTGGTTTGGATGTTTCCCCAGACTGAGGAACAGTGTTCTGAGAAATCGAAGAAATTTTCTGGTATATCTGTACACAGTACAGGAATTCTATCCTACCAACCTCGACCTTAAGGCTGTTCTATTTCCATGGAAGATTGCCCTGCCGTCGGAATACTCTATTTAGAAATTCCGAAGATTTCTTCTTCTTCTTCTTCTTCTTTTTCTTTTTAGAGGCGTCTCGCCAGGCAAGGTTACAGCCATGCTCTGGCATCTAAACATACGCCTTTTTGTTGGATACCCTATAGTTCAGTATATGCGAATAATTTACTTAAGGACCGTGGAAGAGTCTGCCTCAGCTCTTTTTAACGGATATATTACAGCTATTGCACCCAATTACACAGAACCGTAGTTGTTATGCTGATAGCTCATAGAAGGAATCCTTATTACAGTCACCCCTGGCCATGGACCAAAAATGCTCCAAACAATTGGGTGGTTCAAAAGAAACATCAGGCTTCCGTCATGTTTCACTATTAATTTCTTGCAACCTTCTAAGACGTGCCGTGCTGGTTAATAATCCTGAATATGCCGAAGATGTTATGTGTGTACGTATATATCGGTGGACCTCATCTCTGCATCACATATGAGCAACTGATATTTGATGTTGGCGTTAGATAACAGTTCCTACCCATTTTTAAGATGTTGTGGCTCTATAGCTACAGGGATAAAGTAAACGTCCCCGTTTATATACGTTCCTTGCTAATAACTAACCAAGATATATAACAATCTTGGCTCAACTTCTCACAACCGCCGCTTCCGCTGCAAAGTTCTGCCTAGAATATCCAATACCTAGAGAATTAGTGAATCCTCCCTGCTATGGGGAGTTCCATATTACGTATTTTTGCTGGAGGCCGATGAGCAATATTTCTCGTTCCTCGGATCCCATAGCTGCTATTATATCCCCTGGTTGTCCAATGGATGTTTCCTACAATGTGTTGGTATTTGCGATGATAATTGCCCACCACTCCACTGGGTTTACCGATGGATACTGAGATATGAAGCAAGTACGAGTCATCCAGAATGCACATGCGATACCAGGCGTCTGTCTATAAAAGGGCGATGGTGTTCCCCTTCGTTTTGAGCCCATTCTTCGTCCAAAATCAGCAATCCAGAAGGAAGATACCTCAAATATACCAAACCGCCGTTTTTAATCTCTGCAGTACCACCCCCGCAACAACTTTTCTTGAATTTTCACAATGAAGGCTGCTTCTGCTCTTGCTACTCTCGCCCTTCTTGCCGTAGCCCCTCAGCCGACGCAGGCTGCTTTCCCAGGTTTTACCATCATTGCTGCCGGCCTTATTGGGATTATTGCTAGAGCTCTTGGTACCGCTATTCAGGGTGCTCGAGTTGCCGCTACCTTTGATGCTGCCGCACTCCCGCCAGGCGTTCCACAATTCGAATATGAACGTTGTCGTAACGATATCAAGGGCCGCACAATTGAGATTAATACAAACTACCAGAACCGTAAGTATATACATCATCTCGCCCGCCCCTCCCTCCAGCCCTTCCTTTTTTTTTTTTCATTCGATGGAGAACTAAAAGAGAGCATTAGACCTTGAGGTAAAAGGTCTCCCGGCCACCTGCATGAACCTTGCCAATGTCATGGCTGGCGATGGCACTCAGGGGCCCTACGCACTTCCATGTGGTTCGGACTGCCTGTTCTACGATGCTATTACCCCTGCTCAAATTGAGGAGTTCAGACACAGCCTTGGCTTGTAATTAAACTCCGAAAGCAGCATTCCACACAGGCTTATTGTTCTGAGCTTTTTCCTATTATCAAAGACTTCACTCCTTTCTAGATGTCATATATCTTGCAATTTCTGACTGGTCCTTTCGTTCACATGCCTCCCTCTGGAGAACCCTATGATTTTACATCTTGTTTTAACTTAGCCATTCTAAATCATGCTACCTTCACTATTGTTAGTTTCTCTTGTACCACACAGTCCATTAAACGTATTTTAGCAGCCAAGTGGCAATAAACTACTTCCGAAGAAATCAGTCCCATCAACAAACAAAATCGAGTAAAATCAAGTTAAAGAACTAGTTATTGAGTTAACAGTTAACTACCTAATAGTGGACCCATAGCGCTCGTATACCAGCAAGAGACTAGTACAATAGATGAATTGACACAGAAACTGGATAGAATAACTATAATTTGCATTGTCACAAACCCCAACCGGTTCCATAGGGAAACTCGTTGGTACGTGTTTGAAGAATACGCTTGACTAGGGTTAAGCTCAGTCAACGAACACAAGGCATGAATATTGTTGGAAGGTCAAGGAATGCGTTACATACCTCCGTCCCAGCCCACTGGCTCTATGTTGGAATTAGCAATTTCTCTCCAGATCCGTAAACACCAGACCCCAACTAGGGCATCCCGTTGGTTCTGAGGCATGCTTTTAACTATGTCCAAACGAAAAATACCATCGTCAATCGTGTCATATGCTAAAAGGGGAGCCCCATTTCCAGCCTCGTGCCATTCGAGCCGTCCTTTACCATGTGTTTTCGCAGTAAAAACGATATCTTTAGCTTCCAGGTCAGCGCCGGGGCAGGGTATTGTAGCCTTCCAAGCCTGATATCCTGAAGAGAGAATGTGGTGATATCTTTTCAACCCGATATGGCCTAAACTTCCATGGGAGGCAGGCTCCAGATGATATTCAAACAATGGTGTAGTAACGGTTGGAGGCCGGGTTAAGTTAAAAATATGCCTTTCTCGGGCGCTCACTTCCGGGGAGCCCGCGGTATTGCGATTGTGAATGCGATTCTCGAAGCGAGACAGCTCAACTTTCGTGTTGTTCTTGCGTAAAAAGCTAATATCAAGGGAGAGTTTGTATAGAGGAGTAGAGCAAGAGACTGGCGTAGATGTTCCATGTATAGCGTCGCCAGCAAGGAGAAGTGTTTCTGGGGGCAGTTGATCGTCTTTCGAGGGATTCTGTGTGTATGAAGGGAGATTGCCGTCGACATCGGTGGGCAAATTTCGGCCTTCCTGTGCCTGGAGTCCTTCTGGTTTGGGTGTCGTAGCCATTTTATTTAGAGAGCCTCCTAGGTCAGTCTTAGCACCGTTATTCATTGCATGTATGACATCAAACCTGTGTGAAACCTGAGACGTCCGCTCCAGAAACTGAGATATTTGTATACTGCTGGGTAGGTGGAGGCTGACATATAGATGCCTTTTTATTTCTGAGCACAGCCCTGTCTTGCTACATGTATTGATATCCCAGTGGATCATTGATGGAGTCGGTTATAAGCACCGAGTATGAACTCCGCTAACTAAGCCACGCACATTGCCGGTGCCAACAGAAAACACAGAGACCGGAGTGGAGCGGAACGGGGCACTTCCGCCCAAGAAGTGGAGCCGCAGCTGGACTATGGGCAAGGTTCCGGGCGGATCCTTGGCTGAGTTTCTTGGCAATTGACGGAGTAAACAGCGAAGAGTTTTCTAGTTGCATGACATGTGGACACCTGACGGCATTGATTTGAGAGCAATTTGATATTGAATGCAGAGAAGGGGGCTATTTAGGGAGAATTCTGGTGCTGAGAGAGAGGCTGTGTGAAATAATTAACAAAACACGAGTGTGGGGCGAGCTGGAGACAGACCAGCAATGAAGGCGGGGCCACCTAGTATATGAGAGAACCACTAGAACGTAGCATTCCCATCATGCAAGGCCTCTGGTTGCGATGGCATGTCTTGCATAGATGGATTCGGTGAAGCTCGGACGCAAGTTCATCGGCTCACATCCCCGTTGTTCGTTTGACCTCTTTCCTTCTGACTGCATTTCCAAGTTGTCAGACCCCTTCAGTGCTATCTTGCCTCGTACCAGGGTTGAAATCACGCCCGGGTGGATGACATTCAAGGTTACCATGAGAATAAACATTAGCGTGGCGTCGAATATATATAGATAATATTCATGCCTCAGTAATGTCCCATTTGTTCCCTGAGCAAATTCGGCAACTCTAAAGATGGAGCGTATCATGACAAGGGTGGAGACGACGTAAAGGCTGTACAGATATTTTCGCCACGAGAAATGAAGTGATAACGACGCTGTTGTCGGATGGGTGCTCATTCGAAGGTGAATAATGACGGACACAACGATGAGGAAGCCGAAAAACAGAATCTGAATTATCAGACCAACTACGACGATTTTTTCGCCGAGCGATAGATTTGAAGGCTTGCCGCTTGCCATAATTCCACCACCTGCATAGGAAGCGTCAGTTCGTAGATATCGCACATATATAATCTCTCGTTACGATATCGCCCTTACCGAGTCCCTGGACGACAAATGATAATATATCACCCGTGACGAAAATCTTGGTCATCCAAGAGCGTCGAACAATAGAATGATGTTCCGCTTCTAGTACGATGATAAGTCGACCCAGCTGCATATAGATTGAAGCAGCAAACAATGCAGGGGCCAGAAGAAGGAAGAGATTCTGGATGATGTATGGCGTGTCCGTAAATAGAGGTGCCTCAGTGCTGGAAATAATTCGGCCTCCAAATCCAACTATCTCGACTGTAAGAGGAAGAAACCAAGCCGGTCAGCACATACCGATTCCGTGTCCTCGAACAGGTATGGATTGGAATACTGACATATACCACCAATGAACAGAGGAATAAAGAACAAAACACGGCCTCTGATAATTTGAAATAAATGGATAACGGAGGATATCAAATATAACACAATGAAGGTGATAGCAGCAGCTTTTGAAGGGGTGTACTTGTAGAAATCATGAAACTCCTCATCAGCCATGATGAAGGAATCCAGAGAAGGGATATTCTAAGACAGATGAAATGCGAGGTAGTAATCTAATGTTTTCCAAAAGTAATAATGTAGGTAGAACATCAGGTCTGCCACAGTATATATAGTAACTACTACATAGTTTGTAGTAGTCTCTTGCCGCCTGGAATGCCATGGTCAACTGCGGCGGTATGGTGTATCCGAAGGCAGAGAGAGTCGCAACGCACACGCGTCCCGAGGACGCAATCCTTGAAACTTGAAAAGGTCATTTCCGAATTCGAGCTGTACCTAGGTCTAGGTATCCTGTAAGTTGTTGACTGGAAGGGAAAAGGGAAGGAGGAGAAACACGAATAGACTTTAAGCTCAGTAAGGCTTGGCATCGTATTCGGAAACTAAACCTAATGCGGAATAGTCCACAGAATGCTTATATTGCCAAGCCCAACCTGTGGGTGCCGCGATAATCGAGATTGCATCCTATGGATAGAAGCCGATAGCTGAGGAAGTGTTTGAGAAGGGTGGCTGAGGCACAGCTTTGCTACGCGTTATATAGGCGCTTATGAATGTTTGCCATTAAGCCAAACACCAGTAAACCCCTCGGAAACTAAGCCTAAACAGACAATAGGAACAACGCCATTCAGAGTCAGGTTAATTCATGAAAGTAATTAAGATTATAATTATTATAGACAGTAGGTGAAGATGTCTCCGTCCGTTCCCCCGTTCCAATACAAGCCCCAACCACCCGCAAATACTGAAATTAGTTCCTATCAGTTCATTGGGAAATGCAGCAATATGTAGTGATAGATCAAGAAATATTTAGGAAAAAAAAAAAAAACCAAAAGCGAAGACAAAAGGGAATATTATAGACACCGCTTTAGGACGCCAAAAGCTCCATAAAATGATGTCTGTCGTGTAGGCGACGAGCGGAATGAATTAAGAAAATCCAAAGATGGGAAACATGGCGAGTTATGAGATAAGGGGAAATGCGAAGGGAAATGAATTAGCTGGCAGAATATGTCTTTTTTGTCCTTTTTGATTTTTCGTTAGGTGTAACGCACAGGGCGAAGAAGAAATCTATGACGGGTATTGAGTTAAAAATGGGTATGCGCTTGCTCTTTTTTTGGGACATATCGCCATTGATATCGTTTGAAAGTCGGATTAAAAAAAAAAAAAAAAAAAAAAAAAA